CGCATTCTTTCATACCTCTCTCCCCAACCACGATTTTTATTCTGCTAGTGCCCCCTCCCCACCACGAACACCATCATCATCACCATCACCACCACTCGCAGCAACCAAAGAAACCGGATAGAGATTGGTTTTTTTTCAGACGCAAAAAACTGGGCAAGTGATGCCTCTCTGTCAGCCAGCGCGTGCGTTCCTTAAATGACCTGATAACGTGCGTGCGGAGCAGCCTAATTACGCGCCTGTGTGATTCTTTCCCACTCCCTGCCCGCTGTTGCTGCCCCCATACCCCCTCCCACCCCAAATCTGTCCTTTATTTCTACTAGAATTTTATTTCACGCAGATTTCCTTAGGCCGCGCTCATTATCAATCGGTTCTACTGCTCCTCATGCAATCTATAGTTTCTTTATTAGCATACTGGTAGTAGCGGTAGCATAAGTAGTATACGTTTTACAGTTACGAACTGGAACTGACAAAAACAGTGGAGACGGGAGCGCCTGTTTCTGGTTTGTTAGCTTTGTATCAGCCAGTTATGCCTACTCGCAGGGGTGGCGACCCCCGAGATTCGAACCCTGGTCATTGGATACAACACTACCATTGCAGCACGGACTCGTCGGTTTTGTCTGTGGCGATCGCGTTTTGCCTTAAAGCTCAATCGTCTGAATGGTTTAGCTCCAAGGCAAAACGGGACGAGCCTGTACCGCAATCAGATCGGTGAGCACCCAACGATTCAAAGTTGGTTAGGAGTATTCGAGTTTGGACTAACGGTTTTTGTAGACAGTGGCGCTCTTAGTATTAATATTAGAATTCGTAGCAGAAGCAGCGGTAGTCATAGCGATTGTAGTGGTAATACAAATAATTATAGTAATGGTGATGGTATTAGTAATATTATTAGTCCTAATCGTTGTAAAAGTAGCGTAAGTAGTAGGCGTAGAAGCAATCGTAAGAGTTTAAGACACACATATACGGCAGGATTTATTGGCGTCAATAAATTTTGTGACAGCTTCTCAGCTGCATCTTGTCGCTGCATGAGTCGGATAACGAAGAGAACATGCAACAGTTTAAAATTTCGCAGAATGGATGACATAACAT